CTGATGTACTTCCAGCATGTGAAACAGAAACTACTTACATGGACAATGAACAAAGATCCATCTAAGATTGGAGCATTCCAAGATGAATTGTTCCCCAAGTGTTTCCTGATCAGGTACTTAACCTGGCGAATTCCTTCCTAAAGAAGCTGACCAAATGCCTCCCAAAGCTTACTTAGAAACCAAGCAAGCATACAGCCCATATTCTTAACCTCAATAGAAAATGATATATATGTACAAATAGGATGAATAGATATAGTAGACCATAACCTTTACGGAGATATGTTACGGAGGCAGCACAAAACATATTCCAGTTACGTCATACATACATTTATAAGCACCCCCCCCCATTAAAGCCTTATGGGGTACACTGTCACAATGGATAACAAGAATATGCAGAGAGAAGGATGAGAATGTGGGAGGCAGATCATTTTACACCTTCCTCTGAAGCATCTGGCACTGTGCACCTTTGGAGACAGAATACTGACCAGATGGACCTAAAGTCTGATCCAGTCCAACATTTCCTGTGTCCCAAACCATAACTCCAAAAGATGAAAAATGGAACCTGTCATTAATTATGGAAATAGCTAAGATTGAAGCTGAGTTTCCATTTAAAGTCTGATTTTGCCATTTTTCCTACACACCACAAAAAAGAAAAATATTGGCCTTAAATTGTTACATGATCTCTGAGGCTGTGGTGATTTTGTCTGCCAGAACTGAAGTTGGTTAGGGAAGTTCATTACTTATGGTACCCTGAAAGTGTAAGTAGTGATTAGAATTTCAAAAGCCTTCTAATGACTTTAATTTTCAAAAAATGCCTCTAAGTAGCAAAAAAAGAAAAAAAAGGTGAGAAATAAAACAAATCATACTGGACTTCTGGGCTGATATCTAGGGTCAAATTCTCTGTTGCAAACAATATCTGCTGTGGGCAGCATTCTTCACTCCTCAGGGTTCCTGCATTGAAGCTGAGGCTTAGGATAGTGATTGGCCCTCTGTTACTCTGTACCCCAAACCCATTGTTCTCACCCAGCCCCAACTTCCTGTGGGTGTCAAGAAGTCCACATGACAGGCCTTCAAAATGTTTGTGGGAGAGTGGGGAGAAAGTTTACAGCATGGGGGCAGTACAGCATAGGGGCATCCCTGTCTGCAGGAGGGGATCTTCCCCAAACCTGTGAATGTTCGGGAGGTCTTTGTTCAACACATCATAAGACTGAGCCCTCTGATTCCATGTGTCAGGTGGTTATTCAAATGTTGTTACACAAAGAGAGAGTGTATCTCCACGTATAAACTTCCTGGGCCCAGATCCTGAACCTTCAGCACTTTTCCAAAGAAGCAAAGGCAACACGTTCAAAGTTTTTGTTTGTGTTAATAAATAACAAATAATTTCACTTTGAACCTCAAACTGTGAAGACAAAGTGAGTCCCCTCCAGAGCAGGAAGGATCCTTAGTATGATAAATGGGACTGAATTTCCTTTTATCTTTCTCCTCTAGGACATCAAAGGCACCTTAAACAGGTATGTGGCTCCTTCTCACTCTCTCTTTCACTTCCCAATGCAGGAAAGGGATTTTGAATATGACATGTGGCTCAGCATGGTCCAGCAATGCAGAGCATGGAGTTGGTTCCCTCCATTAAATCTAATCTTGGGGCTGTTATTGTTTTGGCTGGACTCCAGAATAGAGCAGCCTGAGAAAAGAGTGATTTACCTACAGACAGGGGTGTTATTTATAGTGTAGCTGGTGGAATGGAGACCTCAGAAGATTGGGGATGGAGAATGGGTCTCTCATTTCTAGGTCATAGACTCCAAATTCCACCTAGGTTGGTAGGGCTGGAAAGTCAGGGCCATCCAATGACTATTCAATGAGCTGTTTGTTAATTGTTTCTTATTATGCAGTGAGCTCTATCAGTGTGCTGGGCATGGCAAGAGATATGATGGAAGAGACATTCCCTGCTCTAGGGAGTTTAGAATGTGCTATTATCAATACTATTATGGCAGTGCCTAGAGGTTCAAGACAAAATCAGATCCCAACATGTTGGGTGCTGCACAGACACACAGAAAGAGACAGTCCCTGCCCCAAGGAGTTTACAGTCTAAAGAGACACAAGAGACAAAGGGCAGAGGGAGGAAGGATTAAAATCAATGTAAGGGGACATTCAATAAGGACAAAGTGCTGCACGTTGGAGGGAAAAATCAAATGTACAACTAGGAAATGGGGAATAACTGGCTAGGCAGCTGTACTGCAGAAAAACATCTGGGGGTTAAAATGGATTGCACATTGAATGAGTCAGTGTGATGCTCTTGTGAAAAAGGCAAATGTCATTGTGGGATGTTGTCACAGGTTGTTGTATTCACCGCAGGTGGTGCCTCCTCCTGGCTGTTCGGGGGATTAGCTCTCTTCCAGGGCCAACCCCTCCCCTTGCTGTCTCTCCCCGCGTTGTGCTCTCTCTCACTCTGCAGCCTCGTCTCTCACTCCAGGAGCTGCAGGAGCTGCAGCTTCCTCTTCACGACTCAGATCTCCAGCCAGGTCACTAAATGGTTTCCCCTTCTGGGGTATAGAGTCTCTCTGGTCCCACTGCCCAGGCAATGCCGCTCCATCAGTGGCTGGTAGGGGAGCTCGAGCCCACCCACTGCTCCAGGTCCCAGCCCAGGGACCCTACCACATGCAGGCAAGGTCTGCTCTCTCCCTGGGCTGCTTCCTACTCACCTCCCATAGGTTCTCTTCTCCACCCTTCTCTCTTATAGAGGTTAGACTAGATGACCCTGGCAGTCCCTTCGAACCCTATAATTCTAAGTACACCCTTCCCTCAGGGCCCAGCTCCTAGCATGTTATTCTCTCCCTGGGATCCCTCCTTCCCTCTCTAATGCACAGAGGGGGGGCTGCAGACTTTCTCACTGCAGCCATTTCTGTTGCCAGCTTCCTGGCTTTATACTAGCCCAGCCCCCACCTGCTCAGCTGAGCTTCATCTTCCAGTCAGGGGTTGCTTCTCTGGCCTAAACCGATCACGTGTGGCCTGTCTCCCTAATCTCCTCTTTCTCAGCTTCCTTCACTCTTTTCAGGGGCTGATGTGGGGTGAACACCCCACCACAGATGTATTAACAGGAGTGTCATATGTAAGACACAGGAGGACGTTGTTCCACCCTTCTTGCCACGGTGAGGCCTCAGCTGGAATCCTGTGTCCAGTTTTGGACATCTCACTTTAAGAAAGATGTGGACAAATTGAAGACAGTTCAGAGGAGAACAACAAAAATTATCAGAGGTTTAGAATGGGTGAGCTATGAGGAAAGGTTGAAATAAATGGGTATGTCTAGTGTAGAGAAGAGAAAACTGAGGGAGGGCCTGATAACAGTCTTCAACTATGTCTGAGGCTGTTCTACAGAGAGCGGTGATCAGTTGTCTTTCAAGTCCACTGACAGTAGAACAAGAAGTAATCGGTTTAATTTACAACAAGGGAGATTTACATTAGTGTGACGGGTTCCTGGGGTGCAACCTGGACTGTGGGACTGCTGAGCCCTCCAAATCCCCAACCTGGGCTGCCTCTCGCACTGTGATGCTGATGTCAAGCTACAAGCCTGACAGGCCCTGCGCTGATACAGACACCGATGGGCAGGGACACGCCCAACTGTGTTACATGACTCATCTCCCAGCCATTGATGAACCAGCAATAGAAAGGCACCAGCCAGTTCCCCCCAGCTCCAGCTCTGCCCCCCAGAACTGCACCGACTCACACTGCTCAAGGCTCCCTTGGGCAGTGCAGGTTCATTCAGTAGTTTGCCGTCCCTCAGTGTGGAGTGGACACACACTGGCCTTTGTAAGCTGAGAACCCCTGTGCTAGTGGACTGACCATTGTATGTATCCAAAGAACTAAATAAGAACATAAATTATCTTTGAAATTGGTTAGTGGGTCTCACGCCAGGTCCTGGTACAATGGGTATCTACATCACCACAAGGATTGTCACTAATTATCTCCCTTAAATTGTGTACAGCAGGGATAGGCAACCTATGGCACATGTGCCAAAGGCGGCACGTGAGCTGATATTTCAGTGGCACTCACACTGCCTGGGTCCTGGCCACCGGTCCGGGGGGCTCTGCATTTTAATTTAATTTTAAATGAAGCTTCTTAAACATTTTAAAAACTTTATTTACTTTACATACAACAATAGTTTAGTTAGATATTATAGACTTACGGAAAGAGACCTTCTAAAAACGTTAACATGTATTACTGGCACATGAAACCTTAAATTAGAGTGAATAAATGAAGACTCGGCACATCACTTCTGAAAGATTGCCAATCCCTGGTGTATAGGATATAAGTCAGGGGATCCTGCTTACCCACACTCACAATACAAGAACAAGGGGATGCTCAGTGCAACTGAAAGGCAACTAGTGTAAAGCTGAGAAAAGGAAATACCTTTTTTTTTTTTTACAAAATTCATTATTAACCCGTGGAACTCATTGCCACATGGTATTACTGGGTTTCATAGATTCATAAAGTTGAAGGCCAGAAAGGACCATAATATCATCGCATTTGACCTCCTGTATATCACAGCACAGACTCCGACTTTCTCATTCCCCCAGGGGTGTTCGACCCCCACTCGGCCTCGGGTCCTGCCCTCACTCCACCCCTTCCCCCGAGGCCCTGCCCTGCCTCTTCCTGTCCTGCCCAGCCTCCTCCCACCCTTGCTCCACCTCCTCCCCTCCAGCACCTCCTGCCTGCTGCTGAACAGCTGATCCCCAGTGGGTGGGAGGCAGGGGAAGGAGCTGAACGGCAGGGCTGGCTAACGGCAGGAGGCACTGGTGGGGGGAGGGGAAGAGCTCATCTGTGGGGCTGCCGGTGGGTACTGAGACCCACTATTTTTTTCCATGGGTGCTCCAGACCCGGAGCACCCATGGAGTCAGTGCCTATGTATCACAGGTCTTTACATTTCATCCAGTTATTCCTGTATTCTTCCCAATAACTTGTGTTAGGCCTGGTCTACACTATGGGGTTAGGTCGAATTTAGCCACATTAGGGCAATTTTAAAATGAATGCATCCACACAGCCAACCCCGTTCCGTCAGCTTAAAGGGCTCTTAAAATCGACTTCTGTACTCCTCCCTGGAGAGGGGAGTAGCGCTAAAATTGACCTTGCTGGGTCAAATTTGGGGTAGTGCGGATGCAAATCGATGGTATTGGCTTCCGGGAGCTATCCCAGAGTGCTCCAATGTGACCACTCTGGACAGCACTTTGAACTCTGATGCACTAGCCAGGTATACAGGAAAATCCCCGGGAACTTTTGAATTTAATTTCCTGTTTGGTCAGCGTGGCGAACTCAGCAGCACTCAGCAGCACAGGTGACCATGCAGTCCCTCCAAAATTGTAGAGCGTAGAATGTTTCTATGCTCCCCCTATCATCTCTGGCCCTGAGGTTATCCCAGATTAGAAGGCAAAAAAAACGCACTCGCAATGACATGTTTTCCGAGCTCATGCAGTCCACCCGCACTGATAGGGCACAGCTTAATGCATGGAGGTATTCAGTAGCAGAGGCCAGGAAAGAATTAAGTGAGCGCAAAGAGCGGAGACAGGATGCGATGCTGAGGCTAATGGGGGAGCAAATGAACATGATGAAGTGTCTGTTGGAGCTGCAGGAAAGCCAGCAAGAGCACAGACCTCCGCTGCATCCACTGTCCTCCCCATGTTACATAGCCTCCTCACCCAGATGCCCAAGAACGCGGGGGGGAGGCTCCGGGCACCCAGCCACTCCACTCCAGAGGATGGCCCAAGCAACAGAAGGCTATCATTCAAACAGTTTGATTTTTAGTGTGTCTACAATAAGCAATGTGGCTGTGTCCTTACCTCCTCCCCGACCTCACCCGGGCTACCTTGTCCATTATCTCTCTTCTTTTTTTATTAATAAAGAAAGAATGCAGGTTTCAAAACAATAGTTACTTTATTTCGAAAAGGGGAGGGTGGTTGGCTTACAGGGAATTAAAATCAACAAAGGGGGCAGGTTTGCATCAAGGAGAAACACACACAACTGTCACACGGTAGCCTGGCCAGTCATGAAACTGGTTTTCAAAGCCTCTCTGATGCGCAGCGCGCCTTGCTGTGCTCTTCTAATCGCCCTGGTGTCTGGCTGCTCAAAATTGGATGCCAAGCGATTTGCCTCAACCTCCCACCCCACCATAAATGTCTCCCCCTTACTCTCACAGATATTATGGAGCACACAGCAAGCAGCAATAACAATGGGAATGTTGGTTGCGCTGCGGTCTGACCTCGTCAGCAAACAGCACCAGCGAGCTTTTAAAGTGCGTGACGGTGAGCTGAGTGGGCTCTATTATGGTGTCTGCATGGGTAACCCAGGAAAAAAGGCATGAAATGATTGACAGCTGTTGCTTTCATGGAGGGAGGGGCGACTGATGACATGTACCCAAAACCACCTGCAACAATGTTTTTGCCCCATAATATATGGAGATATACCTATCTCATAGAACTGGAAGGGACCTTGAAAGGTCATCAAGTCCAGTTCCCTGCCTTCA